CTTCTTATAATATCTTCCCAATGTTTTGGGCCTAGTGCTAGGAGGGTAGGAAAGCCCTGACTGAAGAGAGTTATCGATGTTTTTTTAACACAGCGTATAGATATAATTTTTTTAATATACGTTCTACTTTAATATAGCATACCAACAAAATCTTTGAGGAGGAGGGGAGTATCATGAGGTAAGCTCTCAAAGAAATGATCGTTGACTAAGTATTTATCTTATCTCTTTTGTTTGACAAGCAATACCTGCATCCAACCAGAGTCGCCTCAAAAGCATAATATGGTATATAGGTATGTATGTTTAAAAAATTACTCTAAAGTATAATTAAATATGAAATTGCCTTATTGCTTGATCTAGTAATATGAACAAAGTTATTGTGTTATCTGAACGGACTACTTACGGACCTACAGTTGGTACTAAGCCACCTCCAAACGGCCGATAAATTTCTCTAAGAAGCTTTTCACGTCAAAAATACAATCGGAGGGCTGGACTTGCCTGCTGGGGTGCGACCACAAGTAGAAAAATTAATCTTATATATAAAAATCTTATGTCCGTTCGGAAAAATCCAGTAATCTCGAAAAATTTCCCAAAGTTACCCACCGATTGATATAAAATTTACTCAAATTGTTTCTATGGTTCCTGAGAAGATTTAGAAGAAAAATTCAGGAAGTGCACACGTGACTGACCTATGCGTTAAATTGTTCCTATGGTTCCTGGAAAGGTTCTTAAGAAGAAGAGTTATTTATCAAAGAAATCTTTCTTCTTGTTTGTCTTAGTTTAAATTCAGTACTTAGCTGGCTTTTTGCTTAAATTAACAAGAATACTTTTCTTCTCACCGGGAAGTGGACTAGAGACAGACCTATTCGAAAAAAATCTTATTTATTTGTTTGGCTTACCCGAAACTCGTTACTTAGGTGCCTTTAAGCTTAGATTAACAAGAAGATTACACTTCTCTCCGAGAAGTGGACCGGAGATTGACCTATTCGAAAAAAGTCTATAGCGAAGCGTTACAGGGTACAGCTAGTTTCCTATCATTTTAGATGTGAGTCGAACCAACTCTCGAACTCTGGCCCACCGAAAGTCAGTACGCAACGCTAATCACGCGGCTATTCCGGCTGCGAATTTAAATACAATGCCATTATTTTAATTATTAATAAAATGATAAGCATTTTAGAATATAATTTATTGCACAAAGTTGTATGTGCAGCTAGCTACAAGTTTAAGGTGGTGCAACAACCTCTTCAACTATTTATTTACAAATCTTATAAAACAATATTTGATTGTAAACAAAAGCTTCTTCCATTCACCCCCCAACACATAGCTTCTCTATTAGTTATTCAGTTGTTATCATATGAGAATTAAAATTAAAATTTATGGCTTTTTTCTCAAAGACCGAAGCTTTTGAGAGCGCAGAGAGTCAAAAACTTAATTCGAGGCGAACAAAGTAAACAGAGAGTTTGACGATTGCAATGACGATGACGCAGTCGCGAAGTTTTCGCACCAAAGACTAAAATATATATATGTGCGTATGTATCTTAGATATATAGTGATTGCAAAAATCACTAATCGGTTAGTCGAATCATATTGGTCGAGTAAATGGCTCTGGTGCGATTGGATTACACCAGATGACTTTAGAAAGACGATATTTTGTACTAAAAAGGTACTGAGGAGAAGTGTCGATCACTTAGCTCATAGGGTTGAGTTTACGTCAAACATTGACACCGGCAAAGAGAAAATACGTTTTATTCTACAATTCTTATTCAATAAAGACAAAATCGCAAGTCAGACAGCTGAAAATGTGAATCGGCCCTGATAAGTTAATCATGCACAATTTTTTTTTTCATCGATTTCGTTCCGATAATTTTGATGTAAAAGACCGATTGTCGGAAGTATCGATAAAAAATTGGAAATCGTAACCCGCCCAGAAGCTAAACATTGCACCCAAAACAGTTTGGTATCACTTGAGAAGGTTGGATACACAAAGAAGCTCCTTTTATGGGTGCCATACAAGTTAATGGGAAAAAGCGTCATGGACCAAATTTTCAACTGCGAATCCAAAACCAAATCGGCTTATTTGTAAAACGATTGGTGACTGGTGATGAAGAGTGGATCACTTACAGTGTAGCATCAAGCGAAAGCAGTTGTGGATGAAGGTCAGGATTGATGGCCAGGAAGGTTGGATTAGCAAAGAATCTATCTACGAGGTCAAACTCTTCATGCGGGTATGAATTCTCAGCGAATGGAATTCAATCGCCGGAAGCGCTCAGTTTTGGCCAAAAGGTGTGGAATTGTGTTTCATCAGGATAACGCCAGACCGCACACATCGAAAGTGGCTCGCCAGGAGCTTCAATAACTTTTTTTTGTGGTTCTTAAGCCTCCACCTTGTGCTCCAGATCTCGCACTAAGCGATTGTTAGCTGTTTCTGTCTATGGCGAATGATTTGGCTGTTGAGTTATGGGCTTTAAGAGAAGCTTGTGAAAATCGATTGTTCCAATTTGACATTAATCTTAGTTCTCACTGTAGTCGATTCAATGCGGCTTTGGGAGGAGCGCAGACCTGATCGCATCACACACGAGCAGATTGAGCATTAGAAACAATGGCACAAATAGGAAGTACAAGGAGTAATTCATGATTCTGCCCGGCTTTATATGAAATTACCTACGAGCTTCGCTATTTAAAGATTTATTGCTGTCCTCAAGACGACCCAACCTAGTTGTCAATCTATCATAGTTTTTTGTAGCAGCAGAAACAGCTTTAGAAGAAAAAAGTTATATTTATGGGACTAGGACTAATAAGAAGCCCATGTGAAAAAAATCTCACTTCTGCTTCCAATCCTGTCTGCTATTTTCTCCAGCTCATCAGAGCAAACAAGTTTATTACCGCTGCAGTGATTTTTGGCTCAGCTCCTCCTTTCTCTCTCATTTTAAGCCGTATTCGAGTACTTGATAGGTTTTCATGAGGAGCGGTTGTTGTAATTTAAACGCCTACCATGGGGCTCAGTCTTTTGAGAAAATCAATAGGTTTCAAGTGGATAAAATTGGAGACGTTACATGGCAGTTTGCTCTGGTCTTGAAACTTTCTGTGAGTTGGTGCATCTTACTTTCGACTTTTCGAGCATCTCGGCCAGCTTTTCAAGCTCTTCATAATCACACATCTCACATACATGTTGTTTTCTCCTTCAAGTTTCGGTATCTACCCCACCCCGAACGTGTAGTGGTCGATAGCAACGTTGCGAGGTGGTTTCGTTTCAATCGCAGCTGCACATCGAGAGCTTGAAATATCGTCCCACAGTTTCCTAACGACGTTCTTCGCTGCATAGAGGCAGGTGCATAACCTTTCTGCTACAAGAAAATCGGCTGAGTCGGTATTAAGTCCTCGGAGCGTACGCAGGTCAAGGAAACTAGTGACATGTCATCGGTCTATCACAACACGATCGAACTGGTTTTGAGTTTTTTCGATTTATGGGCAGCCAAGCAGCTTTATGAAGTTTTTTGTGCTAGAATAAAGTACTACAGACAAACATATTTCGGCCTCCGGCGAAGGCGTTTAGTCTCAACACATTTGCGGATGTTTCGTGACGGGTCGTTCATAAACTATTCTTCCCAATCTACCGGTACTCATCGACAGAGTCTCTCTGCCGCCACGAATTCAAATTTGCCCTTCTTCATATGGCTGCTGAAGTAAATGTCACAAAGGCATACTCGTCTCCGTCATTTATGTCAGATCATAGTCTTACGGGGACATCACACCATTTGGGAAACAACGGGGATCAGACATGCGAGGTGAATACCCTTAAATCATAGTCCTAAATACGTGTGCAGTGGTTGTGATCATATTTTATTGCCGAGAATGATAATTAAGGATATTTTCAAGTCAATCAAAATAAAAGTTTTAGACAGACAGTTATCAAAATTTCTCGAAGAAATTTTACACAGGTCTTTGAGACGGGATTTATGTGGAATTGGACGAAGGATTGTTTTTTTGATCACAAACATTTAAAAACTTAATTTTGTTTTTTTTTTTTTGTAAAAAAGCCTGTCGAAAATTGAATTCTCACTTTTTTATTTTCCTCTGTCCAAGTTCTAGTTCTTGGTATTAACAAAAACAGAATTTTCTTTTTTTTCACTTCGCGTGATTCTGTCATGACTTCTACAGTCAACGCGAATGCAACGTTTTTCCGAAGGATCTTAGGAAATGACATCACAATGGCGGAGTTATGAATATTTTCCTTTGAAAATTTCGGAATTTCTTTTTCAAAGTACAAAAGTATATATACTCCTTTATATACATATTTTGAAAGAGATAGTTTACTCTTTATAAAAAAAAGTTACAAGGTCTATTTTGTATTTTTCCGTCGAACAGACTCAAATAACCGCTTAAAAGTGAAAGAAGTAATTCATAATGGAATCCCGAGATGCGATATTTCAATATTCGATTCCTTTCAATTTGCCAAACATTTTCTTTTTTCTTCTTGCTACATACATATTTATGTGTGTGCATTAACGAGAGGGTATTCTTGAAAGCTTCTTGCATGGCAGCTAATGAGCATCACAAATTGTGACGTAAAAACGGAAGTGTGAAATCAAAGTAAAAATAAAACACTTAAGCAGACCTTTAGCTTGTGCAGAACTTGACTATATATTTTCATATGTATGTTGTGATGAGTGAACCTGCGTTTTATTGGCTTTTATTTGGCGCTGAGCAGACGTTGTATGTTTATTTTTTTTCTTTTTTTTCTGACACTAAGCGATGCTACAATGTGACATTTTTTAAGGGATATTTTAGATAATGAAAAATATACTATACATATTTACATATCTATGTATGTATATGCAAATACATCAAAACGTGCCGCATTTTCAACATTTTCAGCATTTTTCAAGGCTTGCAGGTCACAGCTCAATGAGGAATCACGTGAAGGGTGTGTGGGAAAAAATGTGGATGTCTTCTCGACTAGCAATTTATTTACACAGGTAAAATGATTTTAAATATTTACTTACTGCTGTGGATTGGTTGTGAGCTGTTACTTTGTACAAGAACGATTAAAATTTTTTTTTCATAGAGCCCTCAATTACTTTGATAAAACAGATTTGCATTTATTTTATACAGTCGCCTATAGAGTACACAAACACCACTGAACTAGGCGAGTTTACATGAATTGCACAAGAATCAGTGGTCCACTTAATATCACCACAGCGAGGAAGCACGACGTTGGACAAACGAAAAATTTCACTTCCTTTTTCACTGGCACTACTTCTTTTGCCTGCTTTCCACAAGCAGAATATGGAATTTCGGTTCACACTCAAGTATCCATGAACTTTGTGTTGAATCAATTAAAAGCGAATTTTCCGACGAGTCCACAGAAAAATTACAAAACATTTATCATCTCTTTTAGTAATAGCACACGAGTGTGTCTCGTCTCAGACTCTTTTGTAAGCAATTACAACAAATATTTACATGTGTAGCAAATATTTAAATGACAAGCATATCATATACATATATATATATATATATGTGAAGACAAAGGCAAATTGTTATCGTTTTCACACATGTAGTATGTAGTGTTTGTATGTAAGCATGTAAATTTGTCTGTAAATTGAAATGTAAAACTTTTTACAACGTCCCCACAAGCGCCGATAACTCCGAACCGCACCGCAACTAAATGTAAACTGTTTGTTGTCGACGCTGTGAGACAACTATTTGGTCAGATAAATTGAAAAGCTCACTCAATGTGCTTTTCATGCGCTCCGCAAGTGTACTTTGCCCGCGCCTGCTGCTTGGTTAACGCGAGTACACTCATACTTGTTGCCTCTCACGGCGTACGGCGCGAGACGAGACCGAGCGTCTGTTACATTTGGACAGCTTGTAGGGTATGCGGTCGCGAGTGATACCCTGTAGGAATACAGAAATGTAGTATCATCAGCATTGTTTGTTATAATTATGTAGCAGATCTCTGAGTAAATTTTTAGAGAAAATCACTTTTCATTGCAACTGTTTAGAGGTGAGCAGCTCTAGTTCTTTTGCACGCGCATGGCTAAGGCCTGTTTAGGAGGATGTGTATTCTTTTCCTTTGAAAGCCAGCACATTACAGTAGTTCTACCGCCATTTTTATATCAAATATTTCGTCTCGGAATAGCCTGCTGTAGTTAGGTAGCTTACACGAATTCTCTATCTCTAGTTGGACGCAGTGACCTGAAGCTCCCGCTCCTTCGTTCATTTTAGAACTATCTATAAAAACATGTAGAGCTTTGTCTGCATATTTCAGATCTTTGGTCCAACCATTCGCTTTTATTGTAGCTGACAATAGCTTCCTGAAAGTCTGGCGTGGGATAACGTAGTCTATTCGCATGCTCATGGGTAATATTATGCTACTGTGGCCATAAGTCCTGAGTTTCCACTGCTTGGAAGCACATAGTCTCGCTGGAGTTAGGAATTCTCTGCAGATGGAAAGTTCAAAAACGCATATAGCTTGCTGATGGTGTTGTTGTGAGTGCCCCAGTGATGCTGATCATTGAAATTCTGAATACCATTTCCAGCCTATCCAGGTATGTTATATTGTCTTAGCAATCGCAACGAAGATCCCATTAGAGTTAGCGGGGGAGAGACTATTGTACCACAGTTACCGCAGATGCTGGTAGAAATTATATTTAGACAAGTCGTTCTTCTCTTCCAAATGGTTGTAGGGTTGTAAAGTAAGCGACATATTGAGGAATCCACCAGGTTAGCTGGCATCACACGATGAAGGGATCTCTCTATAACCAAAAATTACAATAAGCAATTGACACATTACTCACACAGTATAAAACGTTCTCCATCTTTGTTGCGTTCATTCTGTCATAAAAATGAAGGTAATCTCCTATGGATCCCAAGCCCTTGGTACAACCCATAATACGTTCGATTACCAATAATGGTCAGATATAACCGGTCACATTGCACGTGGTTTCGCTGATGGCAGTTGGCCCATCTGGTGAAGGCTAGTCTTAGCAGATACTCTCCCGAGGAAGCGGTAAGCTCACGTTTGAGCGGAGTTTACCGTGGTCAAGACTGTTCCCTCTCTGGCCCTTATCAGTCCCTTGAGCTGTCCCAATATCCAGGATAACTAACAATCGAGACTTTGTTTTAGATCTCTGTCTCAAAAGACGCTGCAACGGTCAGGAAGTCTTTTATTTAATTCAAGAGTTTCAGAGTAAAAAAACTCCACAATCTACTTTGTCATCTACTTTAGAGCCGTCGTTGAATATGGCTGTGAATCTATGATCCAGAACTGCTGCAGTTTGCCAATCCTTTCTCTCAGGGATTTTTGTTGAGAAAGAGAAGGAAACCGAAGTGGTGTAGTTCACCTCTACAGAGATGTAGCGTTTCCCTCATGATTAGCACTTGATTAGCACTTAGCCTAATGGCGTTGCAGCTCACGTCAAGTTTTCCATATAGGTCTGCCGAGAGAAGATTAAACAGGATAAATGTATTTCATAGGAGTAATGAGTGTGGAGGCCGTCCAGTTTTTCCAGCTTGCTCCTATAAGTAGCCTTGTCTAGTGCTGGCCAGCAGACCGTAACTCCATAGAATAATATGGATCTTATCACCGATCACCGCCTAGCATGTGTAGAGTGTACCGGTAGCACAGCTTACACCTGTCTACCGCCTTGAGCGAATCAGAGGAGGGAACAGCCTCAGTCAAGGAGACAACAGCACATCTGATAGGATTCTGTTAAAAATGGGAAGGATAACGACGCTATAGTCATAACCCTCCCTGAGGCAGACGAGGCCGAATCCATGGACCTATCAACTTCTCAGGATGGTGCAGATACTTCAGATTAATTAGCACCACTCCAAGACAATGTTTGCTGCCCTCATTTTGTGCGGAAAACGGAGAGCATATTTCTGGCCAAGCTCCTTGAGATAACTACCAAACGATATCCTCTCCGGAAATGTTAGGCCCAAAGCTTCCATTCTTATTAAGAAAACATTTCTTATTTTCTTCTCAACACAGCAACGCAGACACAACCTCTTCATCGCAGTAAAACTTTGGGAGAAACGCATGTTAATCCTTTCATCCTCGTCGAGGATACTCCCCTAATAGCAACAGGCAAACAACTACAAACTTTAAACGACCTACTCAAAATAGCTTTATAGGGAGGTACAACCCACCTCCTTTTAAGCCACCCTCCCTACCGAAGTCAAGTATCTGGGGACAATCTTAGGTAGCAAACTAAAACTGAGCCAGGAACACGGCTTGCAGCATAGCAAGTCATTGTTTATTTGGGCTTCAATGGGATGCCACTTTCATGATTTTCGTCGCAGCTGTAGGAACGAAGTACAGGAGGAGTCTATTGAACCCTACCTCTGTCACTGTCCAGCCTTGACATGCGCAGCACAAATTTCTCGGGAAACACTTCTTCAACTGTCTCACTGAGGCTAGACTCCAACAACCATTGGGAATCTCGTTGATTCTATAAGATACACGAAATGGTTCGATCATTGGAGAACTCGATCGCTCGCCACTTTTGCAGGCAGAAAATAAAAATTTTGGAAAAAGAAAAACAATTTTTCAAAAGCACATTTTTATTGATTACAAAGTTTCTTACTGCAAAGCACTAGCATAAATTCGCCTAAACTACATAATATACGAGTACGATATATGTATAAACATATGTATGTATGTACATACTAGTCTGTATAAACAATTTAAAATTACAAATTTTTTGCACAAATGAATTTTCCATTACAAAATGTGTCGTATAAATCGTACAAAATTTCAGTTTGGATTCCACAAATGCATCATATGCATCACAGGAACATTCTTCACAGATCCCTTTTCGAAACTGTTCAAATTTTTCCTTTCATACAAAACCAATTTCAGGTCTTCGGATTTTCAAATACAAAATGAAGCAAACATTTGCTGCTTGCAGTCAAGCAATGTTGCTGTTAGGGTTCGCATGAAGGAATTGAATTGAATTGAATTGAATTTTCAACTCAACCAACATCCAACCATCGTCAGCGGCGCCACAAAAGCACAAAATGTTGTTGTAGCGGTAAACTAAAATTACTTTTATATTTATTTACACACTTATGAAGATGATGATGATGACGATGATGAAGACGACGACGACGACGATGATGATGACGATGTTGTTGTATCCGACGAGTCTGTTGTTGTGCTCTCCGACGAGCTGCGTGACCGCTTGTTACGCTTCAATTTACGCTCCGCGATCATCTCATAACTGGGCAATGTTGAATTGCTGGAATCAGATGAACGGCTCGTTGTGGCCGATGACGAACTGGTGGAACTGCTTGTTGTCTCCTCCAAGACGGGTTCAATATTTTTCGTTTTTCTGCCGATGGCAAAAAGAGCAAAAAACAAAAAAAAACACATTTTCAATTGACGTACATGAGCTCAGCGGCGAACCTTTCTATCAACCAACTTTTTCTTGTCCTTCTTATCCGTTTTCCTACCGCCGCCGGCATCACCGCCACGTTTCGACTTCTTCGCCTCGATCTCACCGTCAAACGAGGAGTTGCTGCGATCTCGCTTTTTCGCCTTTTTACCGCTCTTCTTATCCTTGTGGCGAGCACTGCGCTCGTCTACCATTTTGGTAGAGTAGAGATTCTGCGAACTGGCAGTGGAGTAACCGGTATCTTTGCGTTTGTGCTTTTTAGTTCTAAAAAAAATTTCAAAAATAATAAAAGCAAAAAAAATCGTAAGAAATTATTAGTTCAGGAAATATATATAATATACAAGTTATTTCACATATATGTATGTATGTATGTATTTCAACATGTGCTCACTTATCCCTTTTGTTCTTTTTCGTTCGCGTCACAAACTCATCCTCAGCGTAGTCGCGTGCTCTGAAAAACATAAACAGTTAAGGTAAAACAAAAAAACAAAAACAAGTAAAAGTACGGTACTTTTGTATCTTTCGCTTGACATCTGTGCCACGCTCCGTTGATATCATGTAAATACTGTTCGCATCCTGATCTTGGACGCGTCGACGGGATTTATAATGTTGCGATTTGTCGCCGCCGCCACCAGACTTTTGTTCTCGCCGATTCTTCCAGAACTCGGCATTGACGACATAAAGTCGATACAACTGCAATACAATGACCAGGGTGTTTTTGCCTAAAAATAAAACAATAATTAAATCAGGCTCTAGGTAAGACTCTTATTTTTCAACTCTTTATTGGTGAGCGGTTTTTCAGTTTTCAAAAGTGTTTAAATATAAATAAAGCTATAAAAATGGAGAGATATATGTATGTACATACAAGGGCTTTCTAATAAGAAGTGTATTTTTTGTCATTCAAAAAAAGGCCATTTTTTGTGTTAAATGGTGGGATATTTATTTTAGTGTAAAGAGGAAGATATTTAATTAATAATGTAAGACAACATCAGCCGAATGGCCGCCACGGCTAGGCTTACAGGTCCGTCTCCTTTTTAAGAAATTTCCCATCACCTAAAAGCAAAGTTCCTTCTGTAAGCCTCAATAGCTTTACGAATTCCAACTTTGAGGTCTTGAGTCGCCTGTTGGCGTAGACTTTACCTTTCACGCAAAGGAAGAAGTCGCGGGGTGTTAAGTCCAAAGATCTCGGTGGCCAGTTGCGATCAACTTCAATCGAGATAACACGGTCCCGAAACGTTTCCCTTGAAAGATCTATGGCTTAGTGTGGCGCGTAGCGTTGTCTTGTTGATAGTAAACATTGTCCAGATCAATACCATCTAATTCAGACCACAAAAAATCATGAATCATCTCTCTATAGCGCAATCCATTCACCGTAACTGTTGTTCCAGCTTCCTTTTCTCTCCAATAACTCTGCCAGATCATAAATCACACTAAACAGTTACACGTTGAGGATGGAGAAACTTTTCAACAATAAATCTTGGGTTGTCCTTGTGCCAGATGCGACAGTTTTGGTATATGCAACGGTGTAATGACTGTGGAATGTGTATGAACCTGGGCTTTCTTCAACACTTTGGACTGCAGCAGCAATAATCTCAGTTGCTCTTGAACGACATGCACGTGCTCAATTTTTTCCACCAATTTCTTTATTGCGGTCTTACAAGGTGCTTCACGACGACCGAAAGATGTTGTAGTTCTACGAAACGTCTCTGCCTGCTTTTCACCATATTTATAGTCGATTTTAATAAACACAATCCCTTGCTGAAGCATGTATCGTTCCATTCTTACTACTGGCATAGTTTTTACTTGTCAAATGCCAAAAACCTCAGCTTCAAAAGTGCCATCTACCGGAATAGCAAAATAACACCTCCCATTGGAAAACACTTTATATATAATTTGATGGCCGCAAACTTCGAGTGGATAGCATTGCGCCCTGTCGTTCTAAGGTCAGGTTTTGAGTCCGCAACAAACTTCTAAAATTTATAGGAAATCAATTTTTCTAATTGCAGTCCTCCTCGGCAAGATATGTCACACCCTGCGAGTATGCAGCTTATAATGCCCAATAATGCCCAATTTTGGCTTCGTCGATTTTCGTCCGGTAATTTGTCGAAAATGTCAACAAAATAATGGTAATTGCCAAGTCTGGCAGTTATGAGCATCTCGTCTCCAAGCCATAATTGACGGCCAGAAAATTTCTGTTGTGAGTTTGATTGACAAGGAATCCATCCACTATGCGGACCTGCGCTGTAAGCAATTGGATCGTCTAAAGGAAGCAATCGCACAGAAGCGCCCAAATTTTGGCCAACAAATGGGGAATGGTGTTTCCTCAGAACAACGTCAGATCACACATGTCGATAGTGAAACTCCGGAAGCATAGAGAGTTTGGTTGAGAGGACAAGATTTTTCCACAAAGAGCCATGTGTGGAAGCGCACGCTAGTAGGCAAAGCTTTTGATTGCGTGTTACATGGGTAGCGCCAGAAATGAGGTTGTGGGCCTACCATATAAGAAGCCTACCCCAGCGAAGAATCATAATAAGCGTCGGCATATATACTGATAAATGAACACCACTAACCGCATCAAAGCAAATTTCTTCAACGTATCGCTGATTCCCGCTCATGCCCGATGGAAGATAAGACGATAATGATTTCCGATATTAAATCTAGGAGAGAAATTAATTTAGTTTGTGGGCCCGATACTGTGAACGAACGTGTAGCACTAAAGTGGTTTTCCAAAAATTCCGTTCCGGTAATTTCGTTGTCAAAGATGTAAACTCGTCGGAAGGCCTGTCGTCGAAATTGCGATAAAATCATGGAAATAATTATTTAATTGTTGACGAACTAAAGATAAGCCAGAAAACCTTGGATTCAAAAAGAAGCAAAAAATATGATATAGGCCTGAGAAAATTGGCTCTCCGAGCTTTTTGCCAATAGGGACGCTGTCTTCTACGAGAGGAATATAATGAAGTTGGCATCTCGTTGGCAACAAGTTTACGAACAAAACGGCGCATATATACGGCAAAAAACTGACAAGATATATGCAGGCGCTTCTTTGCATAATACGGTAAGTCAAAAGCATGTCCAGTCCATAAAAAGAGTTATCCCACAGTCCCAGTCAAGAAAAATTAAAGCCCACCGTCAACAACCTGATTAGAGTTGGTAAAAACACCATTGTCATAATAAAATAATCCGTATCTCACCTTCGACAGCACGAAAAGGAGCTACTTCTAGGCCACAATGTCTATATTTGGATCCCAGTGAAACTTATACGACTGTGTCAACTGAGTAACACAGAAAGCTTCGTTATGATTGAGAAAAATCTCTCAGAGGCGTTCAATATTAAAGGATATTTAATACAGGGTGACTCTCGCTGATGTGACTTCTTTAATATAATGCTGGAGAAAATAATAAGAACTGTACCATTCGTTAAATCTTTTAAGTAGTTTTAACACTTCAACTTTGAAAGTATTTGCTGCAGATCCCTTCGGTAGAAGCAGAGGGAGAGGAATACCTCCACTGCATTCGAAGGATCAGATGGAGGGCGAGCGACCTGTCAAAAGCCCAACAGAGTGAAGACTTCCGAGCAGAAGGTAGTGAGAATATTCATTTCGACAAATACTTATAAATAAAGAAACTCATTCAGTATACTTACATGTAAAAAACACACTCATATAATTAAGGATTTTATACTGGAATATAATTAACATTCGCAGGGTGAGGAATGGCGCATCCTGTAATATCACATTAAGCACAATGGCCCAAACGTCGATGCCACAACAACAACCGTCACAGCAATCTGTAGTTCTGAAAACAAAACAAAATTTATATTGAAAAATATAATTTGTTGAAGAAAGCATGTTTTATATGTAAGAGAATCATACTCATCGCTGTGATGTAGCCCGCTGCCACGTGGACGCCGAGCTCTTGTCGCCGATAAAACAATTGTAAATTGCATTAAGCTCCACGACCAAATGCCCAGTGTAAGAAACACTAGAAGATCTATTTTTATAATATTGACATCCTTGTAGGACTCAAAGAACTCCATAATGTCAGCGGCGGTGCCTATAAAAATCGAAAAAGAAATTTGGAAATATGGAAATAACCCAGGAACACAAAGCCTCAGACCGTAGGTAAAGTGGGTACTATTATCTAACACAAAAAAATCTTCGTTTTCTCAAACGTAAAATCGGCTTTGACTCAAGTTGGAAACTGAATAAATATAACCGAGAGCTTGGGAGAGTTTCGAGCAACCGGGAATGTTAACAGAAGGACTCCTCGATATATTCAACTCTTTCAAATAATTTAATCTTCACCGATAACTTCGATTTGGGTAATCTAGTGTTTGATGCTCTCCATCAACTCAGACAAAGTGGACTGTGCTTTCTTCAATAAATAAATCTTCAATAAACAAAGCTCATTTATTCACACAACCAGTAGTTTATTGCTTTAAATGCAGTACCGGTTGGCCCGAAAGAGTAATGGCCATAGCGATATTAAGCTATATTAAATACGTCGGACTGTATCACCCCAAGGTTAGAGTTCTGTAGTTGCTTCCAAGTGAGGATACCACCAAGACGTGAACAAAATGGAGGTCTAGACACCATCTCAATTTATACCGATAATTCCAAAATGGCCTAGTCGGGGTCATACTCAAAGAACCTTGACATCTCTCTCTCTGTATCTATTTCTATCTCCCTCTCTCTTTCTCTTTATCTCTGTATTGTTCTACGAACGATAGCGCAAGTACTAGCGCCAGTATACAGAAAGTAACCATATTCACAGAAAGCCAAGCTACACTGCTGGTTTTGTCATAGCCTAACAATTGCATTTATCTATAATCCAGGTTCCCGACCATAGAATCATAGATTTGGCTAGGCTTTCTTGAAGAATTTGCTGAAGGTTTAATACCACACTCGATGGTAATGGGAGAGGAATCAGATGGATCCCAACAGATTGGAATCTATATACAATGGCTAGATAAGGAAGTGGGGAGAAAGCTGGCCTATTTAAGGCAATACAAGAACTAAAGAATTATTAAAAAGATAAGGAAAAGTAGTAGGGTATAGCTCTAAAATAGGTCTGCCCTACAATAACATTTGTCGCAGCTGCAAGCTGGAAGTGAATAAGGAAAAGGATCTTCACTTTCTCTTTGAAGGCCCGGCTCTATCGCCACTTCGACTTTGACTACTTGGAATCCAATAGATACCAAATATTAAATGGCTACCTAGAAAAGAAATAACGGTTATAAGTAGCTTTATTCAGAAATCGATATGGTTCGAGCGTAATGATGAAGCGGGATGGCAAGAACTTAAAGGTCTTCCGATAGTCTATCAAAAGGGCGCATCTGGCGCTTATTGAGCACGAAGTTTAATATCTCGTGAAACACTTTTAACAACCTACTGTCATTATAACCTTCATGAAGTGAATCACGAAGACCAAATCATTATTTATTTATTTATCAAAGGGAGCTCGGCCGGGCGTATTGGCATTCGGAAGATCAGGGTTTGAGTCCAAATACGACCAATATTCCAAGTTATAAAAAATTAATTTTATGAATTTCGGTCTTTCTCAGCAGGGAATCTCAAACCCTTGCTCATGCGTTTCTGCCATGAAATAAAAAGCTCCCCATAATAATACATCGGCCTTTCAGATGCGGCTGTTGGTGCCGCCTCCCAGTCTTGATGGCACTTTTGCGATTAAGCTTAGCTGGTTATAGCGGAAGTGCTGTGCCTTGCGTGGACTTGGTCAAAACCCCTTCATCATTATATATCCTTCGGTTTTAGTTCTGAGTGTATTTTGAGCCAACCATATGAGCTCTAAGACTGCCATTTTTCTCCTTTGTAATAAACTCGCTTCCAAGCTGCTACTGCACCAGAGTGGAAGTAGAAAAACGGGCATTTCTGTAGCACAGTCCTCAGTAGTCAAAGAGATAACACTGCGAATAACCAGCCAGAGCTGGTTCGTTCCAATTTCAACCGGACAATCACCTCTCAGTACAAATCCTCAGCAACACATATGATACATCGGTTCGAAACTATATGCCTCTCCAAATGGAAGAGGCATATCTCCAAATCGGACACCGATAATTAAAAAAAAGGGAAGTTCTTTCGAAACTCGCTTAAACGGTTATAGATTTTTCTTCCATCCAGAAGAGCCTCCTCTAAGGCCACAATGAATTCAGAGGCAGATTAAATGATCATTCGAAATCAGTAAACTCAATACAAATAATATTTCAACACTCACCAATATAAACCAACAACAACTGACTCAATTGATCGCGCGTCAAATCGCCTTTCGGCAACATCCAGCGGCCGACAATTAAAATTAGCATTAAAAACTGCTCGATCAACGTAATCCATGTGTCCGGATCAATTTTGAACACCGGCAAATCTAAATCGGCAATTTCGGCGACTTCTTGTAAAATATTTTCATTACTACTGTTGTTGTTATTATGATTATTACTAAGCTTGCGCTGTACTTGGTCTAACTCCAACAGCCAAATGGCCGGTACAATGCTGCTCAGGTATAGGAAGACTGAAGGGCAAAACCTGAGAAAAGAGAAGGAAAATGAAGCGGGGAGATGGAAAAGAAGAACAAAATTTGATTAGTAAAGCTAAATTAAATTCAGATGGAAGGTAAGGAAAGGATACATATATACAATAATATATCATAAAGCAATATTACTAAAATGCAGCAGAAGGTTGGCTAAGCACACTTGTTTAACGTAAGGCTAATGAATGGAAAGGATACGGAAACAGAAAGGTCAAAATGAAAATAAAAAAAATTATTGAATGGCAAATGGTTGCTCACAAGCCCAAAGAGTTTTGCGGTTGAAGCTAAGAAACTCTATAATATTAGTTTTACTATTTACACCGTTAGCTTAAATACTCATAGTTATTGACATTTGAGGGACGAGATATCAATTGATAAGATGTTGAATCACATTTACCAAATAGTGGCAAATAAATTCAAATACTTTTCCTTCTTGAAGGTATTCCTTCTCAGGCTCAATACTGCAATCATATATATACGAGGGACGGCTGATAAGTTCGTGGCCTAAAATACTTAAAGAAACAAATGTATATTTTACGTTTTTTTTTTTTCAAAATGGTCTCCCTCAAGTGAACTACACTGAATACAATGCCTTGATACCACTGAAAAAATATTCTTTAGGCCGCTTTCATTGCACTGTCGTCTGAAAGTCTTGGCCCGTAACTCCTTTTTTATATTTAAAGCAGGAAAAAGTCTCTGGAAGCCAGATGTTTTGATGAAACAGCGCGCTAACTTGCCATTGCTCTTCTATACAACTCCCTCACGCAGCTGACTCAACAAATTAGCGTAATAAAGGGACGTTCTTCGTAGTTCCCTTTGGCGAGTAGTCAATTAATAATATTCCCTCGCTATACCAGAAAATGATAGCCATGATCTCTGAAGCCGACTTTTCCGCTTTGAATTTTTTCTTTTTTTTGGACTTTCCTCTTGTTATCTCATGCATCGACTCCTGTTTAGACTCGGGATCATACTAACGAATCCAGATTTCAAAAACTGTTAAAATGCGGCTGTAAATTTCATCCAAATATCTGCTTGTTAAGCGGAGTGAGCATTCACAGATTCATACAAAATCTCTCCGGCTCGTTCTTTGCTAATCTGTAATCCTTCTGCTATCTGCCAAAATTTCATTCTTCGACCAGTCGGTACTAATTTTTCGACTTTCTGAACATTTTCTTCAGTCAATGCGTAAGATAAAGGATAAAAATAAATCTATGTGGTGGAATCTCTCAGAAAGATGGTGAGGGCGAATTCCAAGTGGGGGCGAATAGCTAAATCTACTCAGTGCTGGGACGAATACCAGGACGTATAAAAGTTATATGAAAAAGCTATAAGCTCCTGGCAGAATATCTGCAGTAACGTAGAAAGCACAACCGAGTCCGCAACCGGCCAATTACAATAATGAATCAGTGGAAAGCCTACTCGATGCACACTTTCCATCAGCTATGTACTAGGTGTGGTGTTGGTGAGAACCACTATGTTGGAGCATTTAGGAAGTGTGGGAGCGGATCCAGACAAAGTTATAATGTAGTTTGCTGCCTTCATAATAGATAAAATTTCAGCCCGCAATGCTATTATCGATTAGCCTGAAAGAGAGCTCAAATAGTGGATCTCTTAAGAAGAGGCCTCCTCCAAGTTTCCATCCATCTTAATACTGTCAATTGGGGTATTGAACTTATTGTTTCATTATGCATTATATAATTGTTGCAAACAAAAGTTGAGCCGCAGCGGTTATCCAAGTGATGGACTATGTTTTCTGATGACTATGAAACTCATTAAGTTTAAAATATCGATGATCAAAGTCAAGTCATCGTTTGGCGTGGTCTTGAGCGCAAAATGTATGCTAATCATCGCTGATCTTTGAATTCCGTTTAGAAGGTTAACGTTTGTCGCCCTGTTTGAGCTTAAAGTAAACTCTTGACGAGTGGTTAGCATTGCGTACTGCCAGGGTTCAAATCCTGGTACTACCAACATCCAAAAGTTATAGAAAATTAAGTTTAATAAAAAATTAAGTTAAATCTTCTAATTGCAGTCACCACTCCGAGTGTATTTAACACATGAAATAAACGCGCCTCATAAAAAACCATCAGTCGTTGGAGGAGAAACTCGTCTGGGAATCGCTTTAGCTGTTACAAAACACCACTCCATTTCTTACCATAGGCTCTCATATATGTACAGAAGGTTCAGTTCAGTCTTTCGTCTAGAAATTTTGCATTGGTTCGGAGGCTTAAGTCGACCTCACTTAAAGCCGGCCAGTTTATTGTCGGTATTTTATACCTTTTAGTAAATAGGTAGTCCAAAAAAGCTAGACCAGTTAGATACTCTCTGAAGATTCACTGCATCAAGTCGCATAGAAATCTTGGAAAGTTACCCCTATAAGCTATGGCAGTGGTATCGGCGTATGCAACGCGAGTTAATCTCAAACAAATTGCAGAGAGAGCTCGTCACCAAAATACTTTTTTTTTGCAGTAATTTATTTCTTCCAGCTCATTCTTACATTACCTCCACCAGGAATTAAAAATAAATTAGTGTAAAAGCAAGAAATTTTATATTACAAAGCGGCCGTTCAGATTAATTTCCAGAAATGGAAAATCAATTTTCATGTAATCTCTTATTTTGACATTCAATTTGTCCCTTGCTGCGTCTGACCGCACCTTAAAATGATGAATGCAAATAAATGGCGAATAAAACGTACACTCAGTAAGCCGCTGCGTATACGTAACCTCATTAAATATAAATTTAATTTTAATAAATATTAAATTAATTGGTGTTGAGGCGTTTGAATGTTTTGAATTTTGATTTATTTGAATTGACATAAAATAATGTTACGAATTGATTACTATTTTAAATATATATGACACGCCAGGTTAATCTAAAATTGTTTTCTCTGTAATTTGCCTGAAAATATTTATAGAAATAAAATAGAATTAGTCCTGAAGATCTCCATGGTCAAGAAGTAAATATGGAAGAAGGGAGAGCGGAAAATACCGTTTTGCTTTTTACTTTCAGATGATTCGTTTTACAGTTATCCCGTTACCGAGGGTTGTACTACAGAGACCAGCCGCGATTTGATTTTCTTCATAAAGCTGGTGTAGGTCATTGCTCACTGTTATACAAGGTTCCCAGTATTGACTATTTTAAACGAATATTCAAAGAAACTAAGAAAATGCAAATTTGTTTCAAAAGATTTGATTGGACTTTATATACAAACATATAAATTATGAAATTCGTTGACAAATATTATAAATTTGTTTTAAAAATATGTAAGAACGCTAACAGCTGGCAACATTTCGTTGCTGTTAGCAACGTATTCCAGTCGGTTGTAACGGCTGTGAGGTATGTTCAATGCATTAAGCTTAAAACATTTTTCCCCAATCTTCATTTTCAAAATCGACGATTTTCTTCCGGTGATTTTGATGTAAAAGATGATCCACAGTGTGGAAGTCCAATTATCGAAAAAAGTTGATAATACAATGGAATCGTCGAGTCGATCGCATAGGAGCGAAGAGTCTCGATTTATGAGTTAACGAGAAAAACCCTCATGGAACGAATTTTCATTTGCGGATCACTTCTGAATGGAGACTGGTGATGAAAAGCGGATCACTTATTGCAACGTCAAATGCAAAAAGTCATGGTCGAAGGGTAAGCCGGCACAAACTGTCTCCAAGCTTACATTGCGGGCTGGCGAGGTTTTGTTGTATGATTGATTAGATTGGTAAAGTGTCATCTACTTACTATTAGTTGATTCTTTACGGCCGAATTTTTAACAAGGACCTGTACTATCAGCAATGGGAATGTCTGAAGGAAACAATCGCACAGTAACTCACAGCTTCGACCTACAGGACGGGTTGTGTTTCAACAGGGCAACGTCAAGCCACACATATCGATAGCGGCTTGCACGAACGAGACGCAGATGAAGAAGCTACAGGCTTGCCGGAACAGCGCCCTCATGACTGCGACAGGAAACCTGATGTAGCCGGAGCATCACTTGCACAGCGAAGCATCTATGCCACGAGTTCAGGACCATAATGCTTTGCTGTGCAAGCAGTTCCCTGCGGTAGCATCGCAATAGGCACCTAATAGAAGCTGAACCTCCACCTCGGCACATAGGAAAAGGATTACTAGATTAAAAGGACGCAATCCAGCAAAATGTGCAACAACCGCTGGGAAGGACGGCGTACAGATAAGCACTGAACGCAATACACCAGGAGTCAGTCAACACCTTCAAAAACTCTCTTCCAGTGAATGACGTGCTCGGAGAAAATCACCACCCATAACAGACAACGAGCTCGAGCTGCCTCGAGAGAGCCGCGTGACCTTGGCACAACTCAGGTCTGAATAATTTAGCAGATTAAAGTGCTACTTATCCAGACTAGACCCCAGCATATCCAACGTAAGCCCTGCATGTGGAGAGTCTCCGCATGACACTAACCACCTTTTCACATGTCCCCTCAAACCAAGTTATCTAACCCCCCTCTCCCTTTGGCCCAACCCAGTCGAAACAGCTGGAACTCCCATTAGATGATCTCGGCGACTTAGATTAATCAAATCTGTGCCTAAGCGGGGTTTGCGAACCGCTACAACAACAACAAAAACAACAACATGGTAGCGCGCCAAAAGCTTCGAGTTCTTCTGTATTCACCTTATAGTCTGCTGCTCGAATTAAGCAATTATCATCTGTTTCTGTCAAATGATTTGGCTGGTGAAGAATTGTCCTCTAGAGAAAGCTGTGAAAATCGAATGTCCCAAGGATTTCTATGAGAGAGTCATATTTGCAATTCCTTCAAAATGGCAAAAAGGTATCAGCCAAAACGTTGGATATTTAACATAAATCGGAAAATTTTTACAAAAGAAAAAATTGAAGACAGAACAAGCATACTCAGTAAACGCTTTTCGCTCTAAAGTTAACTGTTTCTCCTTGAAAACAATTTTACAACCATTCATTTTTTTTTTTTTTTTTTGGTTTTTGTTTTTTCAATTATTAAAATTTGAAATCTAT